CTGAAGTGTTTTGGACATGTGAAGGACTAAGACAGGGATTCCCACTTGGCCTAAGCTTATTTAATCTCTACATAAGTGACATGGAAAAACACAGGGCCAAGTTTGAAGTGAGTAGTGAAAGAGAAAAGACATTGGTAAAAATGTTGGCAACGAGGATGAACGCAGAAGGAATGTGGGAGGAATAAAAAGAAAAATATTATGAAAAAAATGGATACGGACGGGCTGAGGTCGAAACGGTGAGAACAAGTAGTAGTTACAAGGATCTAATAAGGGAGTGGTTACCAAAATACTTATGGGAGGAAAGCAAAAATATTAAAATAATAACGAGATCCAAACGTGGAAATAAGGAGAGAGAGAAGGAGAAATAAGAAAAAAGGAAATGTAGTATCGGCGGAGAAAAAGAGGATGACATAGATCACATCCTATGGAAACTGGAAAGGACGAGGAGTGATGTGCCGGAAGAGATGAGAAGTAGATAACCAAGGACAATGAGAGAAACACATTGACTAAAGGTTAATGTTGTGATAATTTAGTTTATATAACGGTCACAAATTTAGAAGAACTAAATTATAACAGATAGGTATAGGGAATGTAATAAAATAATTGATCGATGTAGAATTTTTTTCGACTGAAATAAACCATGTTTCATTTGAAACAACTTTTTACGGCTTGAAGTGATTAAAATTGACCATCAGCTTTAAAAGTCCCTGTAGAAGGGCGATCAAAATTTAAATCACTTTCATGTAGCATCAAGTCAGTATTGTTAATTTTTATTTATTTATTTATTTGTTTAACCAGACACCATACAGAATAAAAATTCCAATTACATGGCACTGTGGCTTTGAACATACTCGTACATTAGGGCTTAAGATCTAATTTGATTTATTATTACATTTAGGGGATCGTGAAAAATTCAATATAATTCACTGAGGAGAACTTATTTAAAGTGATCAATATCTGAATAAGGGGGGAAGTTGTGTTGCTAACTGAAAAAATAGTATTATTTTTCCTTAGCATCACAAATGGGACCTTAAGCTTAATTTCTTGAAGAAATTCGGGAGAGTTTAACAAATTATGTAAAATTTTGAAGACAAAATTTGTGGATGCAATGAACCGTCGGATTTTGGAAGACCTTTGAAATTCAAATCAATGGAATCATAAGTATAGGACTCAAAAGAAAAGCAGTCAAACGCCAAAAATTTTGAAAAATCTGGAATAACTTGAAAACCTTTGATGATGGTATAGGGAAATTCGTATCAAATGACGTAGATTTTTATGTGAATTTCTAAGATGCAATAAAATACAGGGTGTTCTATTTAAAATAAGAAAGTTTCATCATCAAAGTGACATCTTAGGATTGAGGGTAGTGGTAGAATAACCTCATTTAACCGATTAATAAGGAATACGAGTAAATAAATATGTGGAATGAAAGATCTGGTAATGTATTTTCTTTCAAAGAAAGAACTTGTAGGTGGACATTTTTGTGTGACATGAAGTGTAATTTTAATTTTCCTTTTAGCTAATACTCTTACACAATCGCATAAAAAGTTTTTTGGATTATGAAACTCACCCTCTTGAACCTGCACGATGTGGTTTTCATTAGCGTAAATTCGAATAGCAATACTGATAACAATCTTGTACAAAATCGGTGCTCCTTTGCTCGCATTGACGTTTTTCAATACAATGTTGAATACTGTGCCGATCTGCAAAACCAATAAACAACATTGCAAAATTACGAAAGCGTAGAAACGGATATGGATAAATTGAATCGGTGATAAAATAGAAGATTCCATACCTTGTTTGAACAGCACAAAAAGTGCGAGCAGCACAAACATCATTAGCCGGAACATAATTATTCTCTGGGCGCTTGTCGAAGTTTTTGATTGCTTTTTTAAAACTTTTCTAAAATGTATCACACCCACACCATGCCCCCAATATTACAGTTGGAACGGAGAGAAATAATGTAGGCAAATTGGCATTTAGCGAATTCAGCTTATTTTAAGTGATAATGCAAAGTTAGCTGGTTATAAATAAAGTCCTTTTATCAAATGACCGACATTACGGAAGGTTCAAAAATTAACAGTCACTAATCTGACCTTCACAAGTACGGGGTTTGAATGAAAAGTGGAAAGGATTTCGAAAATCCAATGTTAATTTATTAATTCTATATTTCAAAACTTTATAAATGAATGTTTTGACAGAAATATTAAATAGCCCAGGGGTTTTAACTTGCAAAATGAGAAGTAGTTCCAGTTTTTTTTGCATGTCATAGACATTCATCTGGTGGTTAAGAATCTAAGTTTTTGACCTCCCACCCCTTGTGCTTCCCCCGTACCACTCCCAAAACCCCTGAAATTTGGTTGGTTTGTTAGTTTTTCAATCATATCTTTTTAATGGTTCACTTTAGAAAAAAATATTGAAATTGTAGAACACAAAATTCTTCACAACTTTGATATACACTATTTTTTTGTGAAATGTTTATTAAATAAGATATAGAGCTTGAGAGTTGGTTATATTTTTAGGAATTCTGAAATTTCTATGTAGATGTTTTAACCAAATTTCATACTTTATCTCTATAATTAAGAGTTTTATGAGAAAATATCTTGAATTTATCGTGGTATAAATCCCTCTACCCTGCACACCAAAGGGGATGCATAATAATGAAACTTGCAACCCTTGCTAGTGAGGATATTTGAATCACTGTGAGATTGTAGCGCTTTCTAATATACTTTTGAAATTAAAAAATTGTCTCACTTCAGTTCAGTTTCACCCCCTCCCCTCGCGCGGTAGGAATAGATATTTAAACGCTCTTGTGGCGATTGTGAAGTTAGTCAGAGAGTACAACGCTTATTATATATGTTTTCTATTCCTCTTTAAATATCTATTCCTACCGCGGTTGGGGGGAGGGGCGGGGGGATGAAGGATTTGAAGGATGAAGCTGAACTGAAGTGAGATAATTTTTTTGTTTCAAACGTATATTAGAAAACCCTACAATCTCACAGTGATTCAAATATCCCCACTAGCAAGGGTTGAAAGTTGAATTATTATGCATCCCCTTTGGTAAGGGTGCAGCGTAAGGGTATTTATGCCACGATAAATTGAAGATATTTTCTCATAAAACTCTTAATTATAGAGATAAAGTATAAAATTTGGTTAAAACATCTACATACAAATTTTAGAGTTCTTAAAAATATAAGCAACTCTGAAGCTCTATATCTTGCTTAATAAACATTTCACAAAAAAGTAGTGTATGTCGAAGTTGTGTAGAATTTTATAGTCTACAATTTCTGATAACAATATTTTTTTGTAAAATGAACCTATAAAAAGATATGATTGAAAAACTAAAAAATCAACCAAATTTCTTTGGTTTTAAGGGTGGTACGGGGGAAGCACAAGGGGTGGGAGGTCGAAAACTTGGATTCTTAACCACCAGATATTCTTTTATGACATGCAAAAAAATTGGAACTACTTCTCGTTTTGCAGGAAATGGTCCATTTTCAGTCTCTGTTTCCTGGACTAAAAAGCTTGTGCAACGGGTTGTATCTAAAGCTCTTGACGTCACTCCTCACCTGAAAAATATATTACAACGAAACCTACAATGTCACCAACAAGCTATAGTTCTGAAAAGGATTGGTAATTACCAGGGTAATTACTAATTAATATAAAAACAGACATAAAAAAAATGACCCCATCACCAGTACGCAAGAAAAAACTGACAAGTGCCTACGTTTGCCGTCTACGTGCCCAAATTGGGGCCGTACGGCGGATGACCTCCCCAACTTCTTAAAATCTAAATTTAGTTATGCGACCTGTGTAACGGGAACGTTTTAATAGGCTTGATTTTTTTAAATTATATATTTGAATTTAATTACGTTAATTAGGGGTTTTCCTATAGGGATGGTATTTCATAGTTTGTTATTCTAAATTTTATGTTAACTCAATAAGTTCCCAAATGAATTAGGCGCATCTTATTTCTGTAAGGTGAAGAACAGGATGGGACGTTTTATAGCGCGATAAAATTATCAGTCTCCAGTTTGGCGCCGGGTTGGCCAAGTTCCCAAGAAATACCTTACAATGTTGATTACGTGGATTTGTTATAGCTGTCAGTTTAGGTATGAAGTAATTTTAATTGGTGTCTGTGAGGATCTCACTGGCCGATTTGAGTTACATATTATGGAGAAGCGGTTTTGATATTAATGGAGTGGTAGGGCAATAGCTAGTTGAGAGTAACGAAAATTGAAACTCGCGCCGAAGCTTTGGTAAAGATCAGGTCTGGGAACTTGTATTGGAAGGTATCGAAAACGGTTGGTCAGTTGTCAGTCAGTTCGGAGAGCCGTATTGTAGGTATTGAGTTCGAAAAGAAAAACCGCGTGAATCAGCAGCATAAAAATAGAGTTCGAAGTGTAGTGACCAAACACATCGAGGAAGGAACCATATTGAGAAGTTTCGTTTACGGTCTCCTAGTGGAAAATTCCCCTAGGGAAGGCTGGCGTTTTTTGGTAGGCGTGGCTTCTTACTATACAGGAAATGGAAAAAAACCAATATATGTTGACACTACGTATACGTAGTTTGTCCCAGAGTAAGTAGTTTTAAATCCATGCGTCCAGCAAAATCACCATTCCACTAGGTCAAAGATATCAGTGGACAAGTTCGTACTTGCAATGTCGATACCAATTCATTCACCCGTAAACCGCCTGAACTTTCTTTGACTTTATTGTTGTTAGAGTAACCAAAAGATTTGATTTAACGTAAATGAAGTTTTTGTATGATTATTTCTAGATACGGAATCAGATGCACTTCGAAGAATTAGCGTGCACCGCAATAAATACAATTCACGTAAAAAAAGCAAAGACACATTGTTTTAAACAGACACCACCAAAAATATTGCTGGGTGCTTTCAACTTTCTTTCTATACATTAAAAGTCTTTAAAACTTTAATTGAAACTCACCTATTCGATTTATGAGGATCTATCTATAGAAGTGAAAAGTAGAACGATAATGTAGTAGCAACGGTGGCATTACGCCTGCATTAAATTGTGTGTTCCCACGAACGTAAGGAATGTATAAGAACGCGCATAAAGCGTAATATGATTTGTAATGTGGTGATGAACTACCTGTAAGCAATTAGAAATACGGTAGGCGAAGGCTTCAATTTTCTCGAAGGAGCTGCAATTTTCCCTTGTTAAAAAAATGGACAATTATTAAATGCTAATTACGTTAAAGTAAATTACACAATGAAGTGGTGGAATATACAATATACAAAAAAGGTTGTTCTTCTTCTGAACACCTGCAAGAGCCAGTTCTTTGAATAGTTCACAACAATACTCAATATTGTACAAGTAATATGATTCTAATGGTGGAATTTACTATCGCAAATAAGCACTCTTAGCATAATTATACTTGTAAATGCCGAAGACGACTCTAAACTGCCGTAATAAAATAACGCATAAAAGTAGAATGAATAGACGCATGCGAAATTATTGATAGTTTGCTGAAGAAATTGTCCCTTGCACCTTGAGTTTGACCTTTACTATATCATAGCTATCGTGCAGGCTTCTTCTCTTGATCTCGAAGATTTCGCACTATCAAAAAGAAAACGACTATTAACACCTTGCATTACACTTAATGACGTTGTAATACTTGCAATAACCTACTCCTACATGGTGCAACAAGCACAACGTCTAATGGCACTTAACACTTGCCATGCCATACGATATTTTATCAAGCATAAAGTGTTTAATCTGGATATTAAAGAGCAAGTGCTAAAAATGGGTGGATGGCCTATACCATAAGTGTTAAAAGCATTTATGAATTGGATTGCTGAAGTTGGTTATATAAGCGACGTCAGAAATTTGATTTTTCTTTCAATTGTTTATGGTTAAGTTGCACAAAGTCCCTGGAATTAACAAGCCGATGCCTTGATGCATAAAAGATAACGAAGCATCTTTGTTTAGAATTTGCTTTTATCTTAACGGCGAGAACTTTTTACTAGCGCACACCTATTCCCTCTGTAATATACCGAGTCAATTACCAGTTCTCATCAGATAACACAATGCGGCCAGTGCTGCACAACTTTATAATTACCGCTTGGTGCTGCAACTGGAATTTACATAAACACGATCCCACCGATTACCTATCGATGCCCCATAGAACACGTCTCTATTACGTTAGCTAAAATAAATTTTCGCTCGGCCGCGCAGTTTGTTACAGGAACTTTTTAGAGGTGAAACGATAAATTAACTGTTAAAGTCGAGTGCCTGCTAATTAAGCCGTTTCGGAACATTCGCGAGCAAATCATGAGTATTGCGTAACAACGTGTAGGATCTTTAAAATTAGTTACAATGAGAAGTACTCCAACAGTCTTACCTAATAAGATAAGATTCTTCGCCGTAACCGTTTATGACACAGGATACCTTCACCAGTTACCACCAGGGTGCTATATAATTTTGTTAATTTCTTGGGTGCCCAAAAAGGTGAAACCTAAATAAATGTGGCACACTGTTTCCCAATTATTGTATCATCTATAAGATGTAAATAAACGTATTTTGAGTGATTGATCCATCTGCGATAGAGAATGAGTTGGTCCAGGAGTGACGTTACTCGTTATAGCTGCCGTGAAGTTTACCGTAGAAATCGAGGTAGAAATACTTTTCGAATTTTTAGAAATTTCCATCAGTTTTCTTCAAATTTGGTTTGGTTGCGTTGTTGTTAGCACGTGCGCGTTTTTATACCTCTGCGCTGAGGATCATACTTCTGCTTCACATCAACTTTGCAATGGTGTTACTCTACAACTAAGAGAATTTGTGGTGGAAGCCTATTTGAGAAATGTTACAAAGATTAGAGTGTGGACTTTATTTCAAGGCGTTCGCAAGGACTACCCCAATGCGATTCTCCCATGAAGTTGCAAACCATAGAAATTTTCAAGACACTCTGTCAGGGATGCGCTGTAGCGGCTTAGTTACATTTACAAGGGTT